GGCGGAGCCCGGCGCGGGGGACCGGAGGTCTCGGGGGAGGGGGAGGGTGGCCGGAGCCCGGGACAGTCCAGTTCCGCCTTTGTCGGGAGCGCGCCACCGGAACGCCTTCCCCACCCTCCTGCTGGACGGGTGATGGGTTTGTTCTGGGCTGAGCCGCCGTCGGTCGGTCGCTCGCCCTAAAAGGATCTCCGAAGGAGGCAGCGGGGTCCAGCCCCTCCGGGTTGGCTTTTCGGTTTGCTTTGTGATTGCTTTAGGAAGTGGGCTTGACGCTTCGTTTGTTTTATGGAGTCATGCAGTTAAGCCCTTGCCTTGGAATGCAAGCTGAAATCTTAAGAAGATGGGCTTGCACATGATAAGAGAAATCCCGAATGGAAGTAAGTCATTCGTACATACTGGAAACTACCAGCCATCCCGTTCTGAATGAAATGTACGACCTGGAAACGGAGGAAAAGAGCTTACGTTCCCACAAAACACTTTTACTTTCAAGTTTTCACATGCTGCACCCCTCCTTCCTCGCTGCTATGGAAATGACGCCTCGATCTGTACTTCGATACGCTTTTTCCTGGTCAGTGCTTACAGATGTTGGAGGTGCATATGACGTTTGACCCAGGTCCCCAGAGTTTCTTAGGGTATTTTTGTGGACTGTGCTACTCTTGCTTTTGAGCCAAGATCTTTTCCCCAACTGCTTAAAAAAAAGTTTGGTTTACTTTTTAAGTAGCTCAGATTATTCTGGTTTTGAGTAGTAAAGGCAAACCAGTCTGACTTGTCTGTCAGGTTGAGAAGAATCCACGGGAGAACGGAAGAGAACTATCAGCACAGTTTCTTCCCTAGAGGAACAACCTTTCACATTTCCTCCTGCTCATCGGCATGGCAGTGGGACATAAATGACATGATGAGCTTTAAATATATATCCTAAACTTTGATTTCAACAAGATAAAACAAGAACTTGTCCGGTCTAAGGGAATATCGTGCACTTCCAAGCTAACGAAGGATTTGCTTTGAAAACGGGAATTTTTACTAGCAAAAAGAGATTCTTAAAATATCATTAACTCAGTTGCTTGGTTTTGTGTAAATCAGACTAGCCAAGACACTTAGAGTTAGGTTGAATTACACACTAGGAGTACTTGAACTCTACTTTTCATTGTAACATTTTTCTTATTTTTAATTGTGTATAGGTGTGTGTGTGTCTACATGTGGGTGTGTGCACATAAGGGCAAGTGTCAGCCTAGGCCAGAGGTGTCAGATTCCCTGGATCTGTGGGTGCTGACTCCTCTAGAAGAGAAAGCAAGTGCTCTTAACTGCTGAGCCATCTCTCCAGTCCCCTTCCTCCCCTTTTTGAGACAGGACCTCTCTGTGTAGCTCTGGCAGACCTGGAACTTGCTATGTAGATCAGGCTGGCCTCGAACTCACAGGGATGTGCCTGCCTCAGGCTCCCAGTGCTGGGGTTAAAGGCAAATGTGCCGTCACACCCAGCCTTTTACTTCTAACTCAGAGGAAAACACAGAACTTGTCTTTCCTCTGATAAGTCCAAGTATTCTGGTGGAATAGTGCACTGTTTAGGTTTTTTTTTTTTTTTTTTTTTTTTATTTTTATCAACCCGACATCATCTGGGTCATCTGGGAAGAGGGAACTTCGATTGAGAAAAGACCTCTATCAGACTTTTCTGTGGTCAAGTCCATGAGGCATTTTCTGAATTAATGAT